GTTTCACCTTTTAAGTTGCATTATTGAAATAAATGAACTTTTGCACGATATTCTAATTTTTCGAGTTTCACCTGTATATAAAAGGTTGTCCTCATAGATTTCTGCAGTTTACACCTGTGCTTATTGAGCTTCCAAATTACATCCACTTCATAGGAAAGAAAAAGCAAGCTGTTGGAGGATGCCCTTGTTTTGAATGCTGCAATTTAAGCTTAGAAAATGTATTTGGTTTTTGTGTTGAGTTTTTGTTTCTCCATCTCCAGCCCCTGGAGATTTTGGTCAATACAATGTAAAAGGTATCCTTGAAGCAGCTTCTTTTCCTTCCATCAATGGGAAACAAGAAGACATTGAATATGTTTTCAAAAGTCTGCCCACATTTATTTAATGGATTCTTATTAGTCGTTCTTGTCAAGGAAAATATCCATTAGCAACACCAAGGCGAAGCCCCTCGTTTTGGGGCTGTGGCAAGACTTGCTTACAGAGCCCTTTATCTCTGCTCTCTGGAGAGGAAATTCTTACAAAGGTATTCATCCTCTACAATTGCCTGCTGACCTTCCAGGTTTCATTGCTGGAAGAAATATTCCGAAGACGAAAACCGTATTTGACTTGGGAGCTGTACTTTCTTTCTCTCTATGGGAGCCATGGAGTGTATAGCCTATAACAGTGATAGTTAACCTTTTTGGTGCCAAGTGCCCAAAGCGTGGGCGCATGAGAAAGAGAATGCATGCACAGGTGCCTCACCCCTCAAAACGCAATGCGAGCACCCCCCACGCATGCACCCTGAGCATGGGCACGCATCCCCCCCTACATGCAGCCCTGCCTGCATGTGCCCCAGCCCCTCATGCCCCATTTCGGCTTCTAGGTTGATGCAGGAGGCTTTCCAGGCACAAAACGGGTGGGGGGCCTCGCGCGGCGCCCCATGCCCCTTTTCAGCTTCTAGGTTGGTGTGGGCAGCAGAAATGGAAGTAGAAAGTAAGGTGCATTAGGGGGGAACCTGTGGAGAACGGGGAAGGCACGGGCGGCAGAAATGGAGTAGAAAGGTGGGGTGTGCTGGGGAAGAACCTGAGGAGATAGGGGAAGGCACGGGTGTCATAAACGGAGGAGAAAAGTAGGGCGTGCTGGGGGGGGACCTGCTGAGATCAGGGAAGGGTGGCAGAAATAGAGGAGAAAGATAGGGCGTGCTGGCGGAGGAACCTGTGGAGATCAGGGAAGCCTCCCCCCTGCGCATGTGCAGCAGAGACCCAAAGACCAGCTGGCTGGTGGGAGGCACGCGTGCATGCATGGTGGAGCCGGTCTGGGCGATGGCTGGTGTGTCCACAGAGAGGGTTCTGCGTGCCACCTATGGCATGCGTGCCAATCACGGGCCTACAATATTGCTGTGTTACTTTATTTATAAACTAAATCTTGTAAGATTACAACCACATGATCTCAGCTAGAAAACTGAGAAGCAGGACCAAATTCCATTTTTAATCCTCTGGGAACAGAGGCTGGTGGGTGGAGGGCCAGTTTAACAGTCACTGAAATGTGTCTTCAAAATAATTATGAAAGACAAAGGCAAATAACCCCCTTCCTCCTTCTGAATGCCAGCTCATCCAGTCCAACAAACTGAAGCATTACCCCAGCATCCATGGAGATTTTAGTAACGACTTCAAGCAGCCTTGTGTGGTGTTCACCGGGCATCCCTCGCTCCGGTTTGGCGATGTTGTGCATTTCATGGAACTGTGGGGGAAATCCAGTCTCAACACCATTATATTTACAGGTAGGATTTCTAATGTAATTCATTGCAAAATAGAACTGTATTTCTAACCTGTGGAATTGACAGACTGTATGCATCATCTTTTTACCAATCCCACGGAGATTTCACTTCCAATAAAAGCCACTATGGTTTTCCGCAGACATTTTATCATTCTGGAAAGTAAAAGGGGCCTAAATAAGAAAGAGCAGCAGTATTAATTGGGCCTGAAAGGAAAATGAGTAGTTAATAAAAGTTCTTCTGAAATTGATCAAGTTTGAATAACTAATTAAAATGTTGGCATCCTGCTGGTTAAAAGCGACATGTCAGAACCATCTCCAAGGACAGACCCAGAAATCATGTTTTGTGACAGCCTGTTCAAGAAAAAGCTGGTTTGCTGGATGAGGCCAGAAATAAAACATTCCAGTATTTGGAGCTCAACATTAGCCAGTTAAACACCCTATGTAGATTCTCAGAATTTTTCTTCTGCTTTACTTAAAACATTTTGTCTGTAGTTACCGTATTTTTTGGAGTNGCAAAATCTCCACTCCCTTCCCACTCCAGGGAAAGGTTACTGCAAAATCTCCATTCCCTCCCGATCAGCTGGAACTCAGGAGGCAGACAATAGATGGGGGCACGGCCAGCCAGAGGTGGCATTTGCCAGGTCTCCAAACTACTTAAAATTTCTGCTTCTGGTTCTCCAGAACCTGTCAGAACCTGCTGGATTTCACCCCTGGTATAAACAAAAATAGGAACACAGTAAATGGGTTTGAATAAATGGAGACAGTAGGACGGGGACGGTACGCACGCTGGTGCGTTTATGCACGCCTAACATAACGAGTAACAACTAAGTGATAGAAGGATCTTGTTTTTAGTGGAAGATGAGGTTCTTTTTATTAAACTATCTTTTATTATATTCTGTTTTAACTCTGTTTTAATGCGTGTCTCCAGGGCCTATACAACCTGACAGATCCTCACAATGGAATTTTCATGGCACGCCATAGAATGAAACGTAGTTTGACAGTGTGCAAGACAATTGTTATTAATTTCCTTCCTCTGCGCTTTACAGAGTGACTAAAACAATCTCCTTGTGATGCAGAACAAAACAAGAAGAATAGTGAGCGTCGGACGTAAAATTGGCCATTTTCCTACCCCAACTATATTTGTCTTCTTTGTTCAAAGTCATCTTCTATTGATTGCAATAATTACACCCACATAGCTGGAAGCAATGTTCTCGAATTGGTATTTAATTAAAGTGATGATTGATTCTAATTGTTTGGTAAACATATCACATTCCAGTATGTAAATAGCATCAACTGATGAAGGATAAAGAAAAGCTGAAAAAGGAGCATTAGAATGCTTTAAAAGGAGCAAGGAACAATCTATGCAGAGAACGCCTGCAAATAATTTCTGCACTTTATCTGTTGTGATGGTGGAATCCATTTGTATTAGGTTGATAGGTAAGAAGTTTGATCTTTATGAGCTAGAACACAAATTAATTTCTTTAAAAAAATTGCTTGAAACTGAAACCTGTTCCTTCCTGGGGCTTTACCCCCCTTTTCAATAAAAATTTAGAAATGGAAATTGGAGGCCTTATACATGAAATGAATACGGATACAAGGGAATATTAGGACAAGGATGGTAGGCACGCTGGTGCGCTTATGCACACCCCTTACAGACCTCTTAGGAATGGGGTGAGATTGACAGTAGACAGTCTAAGGTTAAAGTTTTGGGGGTTTGGGGAAGAAACCACATTGTCAGGTAGAGCATTCCAGGCGTCGACCACTCTGTTACTGAAGTCGTATTTTCTGCAATCAAGTTTGGAGCAGTTTACTATAGGTTTGTGGGCTCGTGTGTTGTGGTTGAAGCTGACGTATTCATTGACAGGTAGGACATCGTAGCAGATAATTTTATGTACTCCGCTTAGGTCAGATTGGAGATGGTGAAGTTCTAAATTGTCTCAGCCCAAAATTTCAAGCCTAGTGGCATAAGATTGCAAGCAGAGGAATGGAGGACACTTCTCGTGAAATATCTCTGGACTTGCTCGATTGTATTAATGTAATTAATTGTATTAATGCAGTCCAGGTTCCAGACAGATGAGCTGTATTCGAGAATTGGTCTAGCAAAAGTTTCGTATGCCCTAGTTTGCAGTTCCATATTACCGGAGAAGAAGCTTTGCAAGATTAGGTTGACAACTCTTAATGCCTTTTTTTTGGCAATGCTGTTACAGTGAGCTCTGGCCCTTAGATCATTTGAGATGAGTCCATCATGATTGTGTTCAATCAGAGATGGGTTTCAGATCTTCTCCTTGGGCCATTTTCTGGATCTGTGTTGCCTGCACAATTATAGAATTGGTCGTCAACTTCAACTTTCTATTCAGTGCAAGAATCCAAAATGTAGCATCCCGAACTCATGGCAATTTAGCTGCTACTTGGACACAGTCAATGAAGGAAGGTCTACCACCTTTCAGTTGAGTTACAGCAGAGGTCCCCGGATTTGACAACCGCTATGCTGGCTGGAGAATTCTGGGAGGTGAAGTCCAGAAAGTCTCAAAGTTGCCAAATTCGATGACCTCTGAGTTAGAGGGTTAAGAGTCAACATTCTCTTACTAATAGGAAATTTTGTCTTACGTTCAACTGGAATCTGTCTTCCTGTGATTTGAAAACATGTTTTTTTTCCCCATGTCTTACAATCTGCTTTGAGCCTTCAATAAAAAAATAAACACCATAAAACAGCTAATAGTTTTTTCCCCCGCTCTGAAGTGGAATATATCAGTTTTGGAAGTGTGTCACTTCATGTAAAGTAGAAAAATAAATAATGGCTGAATTATCCTGTTCTTCATCCTTAATCTTTGCTAATTTTGGAGAACCAAAGAGACATATTTTATTCAAAACTTTTACACCTTTTTTCAACGTGAAAATGTTCGCCTTCAAAAGCGACCTCATTTATAAACATTGTTATTCTCCTCCTTAATGGCATAAGCACTCAGAATGGCTCGTGGATATGGACAACAAAACATTCTTCCTATCACCCCAAATAAATTTGTCTCACCTGTGAAGAGTGATAATGATATTTCTTTCACTTGCATGAAAGACCTTGATAAAAACGTCCGTCTGGGGAATTTTGAGATATGCTTCTTTCTCTTTGACAGGGACATAATAACCACGCATCACCAATGAGATATCCAACAGCTGCTAGGTGGTTTGAAGTGGGACCCAGAAAGTTAAGAGTTCATATCTAGGTCATTCTTACAGCACTTAGAAAATTATGCGTTTCTCCAGAGCTCAATTTTGGAGGTGTTTTTCCAGGTGGGGTTTGTTCATCTCAAATATTAATGGCATGTAGGCGAAGTATCTTGATGAAAATGTCTTCTTCTTGATGATAGACAAATAATTGACCAGGTAATGATATTATTAGTAGTGGTAGACATCAATATCATATTAATGGTATTACTAGACATCCTGTGCCTTCCAGATCAGCTCATCATTTTGAGATATTTTCTTACCTAAATAGAGAAACAAAAGGATCACAGGTGAGGATTATGAGTGGGAGTGACTTTGGCTTCCTGCTGTTTCCCCAATAAGTTCTCCTTGTGGGCAAGTGATCCAAATCCTTCCTTCTTCCCTCCCTCCCTCCCTCCTTCCTTCCTTCTCTTTTCTCTTTCTCTTTTCTCTTTTCTCTTTCTCTTTCTCTTTCTCTTTCTCTTCCTCTTGTCCTTCCCTCCCTCCTTTGAATTCCTGCTGGCTTCCCCATTTACTTGACTTGTGGGAAGCTTGCAGGAGTGAGAAAACCAGCAGGAAGTTGCAAGTTCAAAGCCACGAGACACAAGTAAGTGGCTTCTCCCTCATGTGTGCTGGAGTGCAGGTCAGGAAGCGTAATTGTGAAGAAGTGCATGTGGGTTGGGGTCAGGGGTGGAATTCTACCAGTTCGGACTGGTTCGCATGAATCAGTAGCTCCGACGATCAGCTGAGAGCGAACCAGTTCGCCCTGATGATCAGATGGGCCCACCCGCCCGCCCACACTATTTTCCTATCTTTATCTTCTCACCTTATTCACATGACAGAGCAGAGTGTCACGTGAATCC